TATATATATATATCTATATATAGTTAAATCATTGTATGTGCCAGAATTTGTTGAGCGGACGAAAAAGAAGATGAAGCTTCGGTTGAATCGAAGATATTTTCTTGTTATCGCTTTTTGTTAAATATTGGCTGGCAATCCTCATATATACGGCATACGTACATACATAAACATAAATACATATTCATATACATATACATATGCTGACTTACATATATATACATACATGCATAATATAATAATTCATATTTTGAGCATATATTGTGCTTGTTTTTTCGATTTTATTGTAATTGTTACTCGCACTAATTAAATAATGTAAATTAATTTGTAATATCTTAAAAATTTATCTAAAGCTACCTATACAATTATATATATATATATACATATATACATACATTAAGCGGTTAGCGAAAGTCTGCACATAAATTAAAGATGTTCGGGCTAGTATGTTGCCGAATCGTTTTGCCTAGGAATTTGGCAATATCGTATACAGCTCGATATAGAAGAATATAACAAGAAAATAATATCAGACATAACCGCAATCAGGCAAATCATAAAACAAGAGAGAGCATATGTGTGTGTGCGTGTGTTAAAAAGAGAGAGCGAGATCTAGATATCTAGGGAGTATGCGTGCGAGGCTCGCCTCAATTCAAATGCATATTGTATGCAATTCGCTCTTGTGGTTTGGTGTGTACAGAATAACGATATTGTTAAAGAAAATTTGTAAAAACCAAAACAAAAAAACAGACATTTGAACACATATTGTTGTGAATCGTTAGAACAATTGTTTTTTGGTATAGCGTTGATGATATGAAAAGTGCAATTTGTGTTACTTGTTGCTATCTACATATATACCAGTTAATAATTCTATTAAATTCAATAAAAGTAAAAAGACATAATTTTCGTCTTACCTCGGTCCTTCTTCTTTGTTTTTGCCTGCATCTCGAAATTTTAATTTGTATTGCCGATTTTAGCGCTGTGTGAACTTAGCCAACACTACTTTTCGATAGCCTATTTTATAGCACTGGTACGCAATCGATTTGCCGCCACTTAGCATGAGTCCAGTACTATCGATAGACAGATATCTACAAGTTCTACCCGAAACGATTCAACGCAATATTTACAAGTCTTAATTTCTTGGTCGCAACGAAACCAAAGTAAACATTCAACTAGTGAACTCGAGATCGAAATTTTCTAGTGGCATATCAATTTTGGCAGGCCAAATGCAAACAATGTGACTAACTGCGAACATAAATAAATATAGATATTTATAACTACCTTAAGTAAACAAACAAATCCTATATAAGTTGTTAAGAAAAAAAAAAGCTAAAACCGAAAACGGAAAACATAAACAAGTGCAAAACTGTGCAGCAGCAGCAGCAGCCGCAGACGCAAACGCAGTTAAACGGAAAAAGTGTAAAATTGTAATTGGGCAAAAGATAATCTGCATACCAATTGTGAAAGAACAAGAACAGAAAAACTAGTTTGCAGCAGCGACGTCGACCGCACGATAACAAGAGCGACCGACGCCAAGGTAGTTAACGAGCTGACAAGGGGAGTCCAGTGGCCAGACAGGCGGGCGGGAAAGAGATAGCTGCTATCTGGCCAATAAGTGTGAGTGCAAGCGCGAGCGTATGGAACCAGTTCTCTGCTAACGGCAGGCACTATGCAAACCGACTGAGCAACAACAACAATAACAACAGCAGCAGCAACAACAACAACAACAACAGCAACTATAAGAATAAGAATAAGAGTAGCGCAGTATCAACAAGTTAAATCAGGATGAACGTAAAATGGTTGCTGGCAGCCCTGCTGCTGTTTGCGCCAGCCAGAAGCGGGGGCAGCACTGCCATCATCAGCACTGGCATCATCAGCAGCAGCAGCAGCAACGCCCCGCCCGAAATCATTTTCCGCCAGTGCGAGCCCATCCGGATTGAGATGTGCCGCGGCATTGGCTACAACGAAACATCAATGCCCAATCTGGTGGGGCACGAGCTGCAGACGGACGTGGAGTATACGCTGCAAACGTTTGCCCCGCTCATCGAATACGATTGCAGCTCCCAGCTGAAACTCTTCCTGTGCGCCGCCTATGTGCCCATGTGCACGCCCAAGGCGCCGGTCCACTCGATCGGGCCCTGTCGCAGCCTCTGCGAATCCGTGCGCATTCGCTGTCATCCGGTGCTCCAGGGTTTCGGCTTCCCTTGGCCGCCGGCCCTCGACTGCGAGCGCTTTCCGCGCGAGAACAATCACGAGACCATGTGTATGGAGGGACCCGGCGAAACGCATCTCACGCTCCAAGACCATGAGCTCTATGGCCAGCAGCTGCCGGGCCTGAAGATGGGCGCACCGCTGCCGCTCGACTGCTCGGCCCTGGCCAAATCCCATTTGTATGTGAAGCTGCATCGGTCCGGACGCTGTGCACCATTGTGCGAAGCGGACATTCTGTTTACGCCCAGCGAGAAGCATCTATCCGAAATCTGGGTATCCACCTGGGCGTATGCCGGACTGGGACTCGCCTGCGTTGCCACGCTCTGCCTCCTCCTGTTGGGCGGTGATCATCGTGGGCGTGGCACCGCCGGCAGCGCCGCCAGTGGCAATGCGGCCGCCAAGTGGTCGCGTCTGTTGTCGCCGCTGCTCTGGTGCCACAACATGGTCACCATTGGCTGGACGGTGCGTTTCATTGTCGGACGCACGGGCACCGCCTGCGGCACAGATCCCCAGGCGCCCAACGAATCCCTGCTCAGCGTCGATGGCCTCTCCAATGCGGCCTGTGCCAGCGTCTTTCTGTTGCGATACTATTTCGGCATGGCTGCCTGCGCCTGGTAAGTGCTGGAACTAGGCAGGAACTAGTTCGAATCCGAAATTGATATATGAACTAAAGTACTGGAACTAGTTTAAGAACTTATATATGTGAACTGTGTGAGAGCAGCAGGCAGACTGGAACTAGTCGGAAATTCTACTTGACTCAAGTCTGGAACTTGTTCAATTGATCTTTGATTTTTAGAGCTTTTAGGAACTGCATTTTGAAGCTTGCTCGAAAGTTAAATAATGTTAAGTTTTCATATCACCAGCAGCCAGAATGGAACTTGTTCTTCCGTTCCCTTTGAGTAACCCAATTCTGAAAATCGTTCAAAAGGCTTTAGATTTTGAAGGGAGCTTCTGGAACTGGTTCAAAAAGTTATTATTAATTTAAACACTATTCATTTAAACAAGAGCTAGACTGGAACTTTTTCAATAGATTTCTGCATTAGATAAACTTTAAAGCAGGCACGTTAGTAACTGCTGGATCTTGTTAAAAAACCCAAAAACTAGTTCATTAGCTATTAAATTCTATTTATGTATGTATTTTAGTTTTCCGCTTTTTAAATCGAGAATGTTTTATTCCAAAAGTCTTATTCGTATGGGTAATTAAATGCCGGAACCAGTATGGAACTTGATCATATAGGTCGTATACTTGATATTATATGAAGCCAATAAGGCTTTGAACTAGTTTCTTCAAATTGTATGTCTAATGCTTGGAACTAGTTCAGTAGTTCTTATTAAAAAAAAAAAAAAAAATTAAGTAAGCCATAAAACTCATGTTTCATTTTTTGCTTGAGTGTGATTTTAGTACTATGACTGCGAACTGTTTTACGACTTGTCCATAAATGTGGTATATGTTATTTTCATGTCGTGTGGTTGGGGTTGATAACAATAGAGATAGGAATTTGCTAACGCCACCTATTTATGACTGAAAACGTTTTGTGTTTCAGCCCAAATGAATATAGGTATATATATCAAATGCAAATGCTATATACGATATATGCATACATTTAATCTATATGCTATAAAATTAGAGATTCGCCTAAAAATCAATTCATTCTCTGTTTTCTGCTCAAAGATTTGGATTCTCAGAATCATCTAAAATTTACCTATAATAGTGAAATAGTTTTTATTTGATTTTATTATTATTATATTGATGGACATCGTTCTATGCTAAGACTAAACGGAATCTCAAATACAGGCGAAAGATAGATGGAAAAGTGAAGGCAAAAATAGTTATAGAAATAGAAAAGATGAAAAATGATCAATAGACACTAAATGGTAATAGATAGACCCTTAACATCTAAAGTTATATTATATTCAAATCTGATTTCGATCCCACATGAAGCACACACAATGGAAGGAATCTAATAAGTCCTCTACTCTATTTTTTACAGGTGGGCCATTTTATGCCTTGGCTGGCATCGGGATATACGCCGCAATAGTCCCGATACCAAGGGACATATAGCGCTGCCCGCCGCTAAGCGACAGGGAGGCAGCAGCCATGGCAGCGCTCAGCAGGATTTGGCGCAGAATAACTTCGTGTGCTTTGTGGCCTGGGGACTGCCGGCGTTCCAGACGGCGGCGGTGATCGTGATGCGACTCGTCGACGCAGATGAGCTGTTGGGTATGATGGACTTATTTGTACCCTTAACGGTAACACGACTACGACTGATTTCTCTCCTTCCAACAGGCGCCTGCTTTGTGGGCAATCAGTCGGACAAGGCGCTGCAGGTGCTGGTTGCCACGCCCGTCTTTTGCTATTGGATCTTTGGCTCGATGAATCTAATCTCTGGCTATTTGGTGCACTGCCGCAACAAGGAGATATTGCGCAACAGCAATGCACTGAGCCTGCAGCAGCAACTGCAGCTGGGCGTGCACAACAGCTCCGGCATTGGCATCTTTCTGTTCATCTATGGCACCGCCTGTGCCCTGCTGCTGCTCGCCGTGATCTATGAGTTTGCCAACATCGATGTTTGGCTGAGTCAGCGGGAGACGAGCACACCGCTCTGGCCGTATCTAACGCGCGCCTTCATGGAGCTAATGCTGGGCATTTGCTGTTTCGCCTGGGTGCTGGGTCCCAGCATATCCAGTCTCTACAAGCGCCAGCTGTCCATGCGTCCGCTCAAGCAATCGGCCGACCGCCATCCGCAACAGCAGCTGCAACAACAACAGCAACAGCAGCCCTCGCTTCTGCATCAGCACCGTCACCATCATCATCATCATCATATGCAGCAACAGCAGCAGCAGCAGCTGCAGCAACAGCAACTCCAACAGCTGGATGGCCAGAGCAGCTCGCGTGGCTCCCACCTGGCGTGCAGCAGCACCGTTGTCTCCTATCACTCGGTGCGTCCCTCGCACCAGTCCATGGTCAGTGCGCCGCCACTGATCAGCAGCCCCTACAAGCACAAGTCGCAGCACACGGGCGCCGGCTCCATATCGCTCAACCAAATGTCTAACTATTCGCTCGGCCGCAGCGCCCAACAGACGCCGCACGCCCACTCGACGCAGCGGCTCTACTATGCGCCATCTAAGCATGCCCATGGCCATCATCATCATGGCAGCTATACACACTATCCGCAACTGCAGCGCTATGGCAACGAGACATTGCTCTGAGCGTGAGTCATGTCCAGCTTTACTGATTACTCTATTCATCTGCTAACAACTTGTTCCACTCTTATCCAGATTGATCGCTGCCCTCGCCAAGAGTTCTTCAAGTCTGAGGCCGCGCGTTAAGCACAAATGCGGCTATAACAACGCAACGTTCCTGCCAAGGTCAGCATAGAATCAGCCTACTTTAGCTACCTATCAATTTGCATTTAAGCAATTTACACTTTATGCACAATTTGTTAACTTGATTAAGGCCTTTGCCTTAAAAAGATTGTATACATGGAGAGAAAGCATATTCAAAATTGTGCCTTAGATGTGAGAGAGCGAATGAACTAATGCAGTCTAGACTCTAGTTTCTTGAGAGATATCAACTTAGGTAATTTTAAAACATATAGTAGAGCTCAAAAGCAACTGAGTTGTATAAGAATTTGAATTGTTTGTATGGATTAGAGCGGAGCATATATATTAGATTCCTTGACTTAAACTGCAAACAGTTGTCTTAGCCTAACTAGTTCCAGTTCAACTTGTAAAATTGAACTAGTTTGGGCATATGCCTTAAATTAAACTAGAATTCCTTGAGCTTATATCTGTGTATACTCTATATATCATTTCAAATCAATTTATAAGCCAAATTAGGGCCAACAAATTGTGCATACTTATATTTAGGTTTCACACTATTTCTGACTTTTGGGAACCCACGTAAATGTATTGCTTCAAATGTATTATCTTGTGTATGCGTGTCTGTACTTAATATTCTATTTTAATTAATATTTATGTTGTGTTCCTTTAAATGTTGCTTGAAATGCCATGAAATGAGTGAAAAGCAAGGAACTAACTTCAGCTAAAAGAAAATAGCACTTTTACATTTTGAACTAGTTCCTGGATTTTTGGTTTAGCTTTGCCTGATATGAAACAAATTTAATATTAATTATAATATTTATAAACATTTTGTGCAATACTTTAAATTTTCAAAAATGTATTTTGAAATTTCTATATTTAATTCGACATTTTTGTAAATGTAACTTGGCCTTATTTACTTAATTATGTAATTTTCTATATTATTTCATGGCACTTTGATTTTTGATAATTATTTTTTAGCGCGTAACCAAAGTACAATACACTAAAAACAATTCTTGCCSCATATTCTAATTATAATATATATTTTTTATCATTCTGCTTCCTATATATATATATATAAATATATGTAAATTCTGTGATACTGTGATTCAAGTTTTAAAGATTTAATAAAAAAAAAGAAGTGTACTTAAATCCAAAATCGATTCGAAACGCAAGTGTACTTAAATCAAACATTAATTGTATTCAGTGTGCCATTAGAGTTAAGAATTAAACAAACAAAAAAATACTTAATACATTTATACATATTATAGCAATTAAGTTCCAACTAAGTCTTGAGAGTCTTTATAAAAGCTGAAAAAATGTTGAATTCAATCAAATCGTATTCAACTCCATTTATATATCGTATAAATGAGCATGCCTTCTATCCCTTCTATTTTTTTTTAAATAAAACCATTTATATATATATATAAATATGTCAAATGTATTTCGTATCTTATTTATGGCGAATAAAGTTGTCCAAAATGATTTAATGCTGTTTACTTAATACATGGATTTTCTTTGTTTTGATTTTTGGTATATACAATTTTCTTTTTACAATTTTACCTGATGAGCATTTTCGTGTCTTATACGACTTCTGCGTTTCTCTTATATTTGAGCTGCCGCAAATGGAGTTCATCGCTAGTTCAAGTATTATTGTCGACTGGGTGGCAACGCTGCGGTCACGTCGCGTCGAGCGGGTGCACAAACCACAATTGTATCGCCTCGATTGTTGTTGTTGTTGCCACTTCTCCCGTTGCCGTTCGCTTGCCAATTATCAAGGTCCTCGTCGGTCGCGGCCTCGGCCTCGGCCTGCTCCTTGGCACGCTGATGGTATTTAAGTTCGCTGGCATACTTCGAGTTTGTAATGCCCAGGAATGAGGCAAGGCCGCCGCCAACGTAATCAATGCCGGCCAATATATTGTGGCCCACCTTGGTGGCTTTGTAACGTAGGCGCGGCCCGAGCGGCAGTTCGCGCTGCTCCCGAATGAGTCACAAAATTTGATTAGTTACCAATAATTGATTCATTCATTCATTATCGTATCAACAGCTAAATTCATTGTTTACACAAGGCTTACCTCCAATTGGGCATCGTAACCCTTATCGGGCACGTCCGGCTCGCCGTCGCTATCGCTGGAGGAGGGCTCCTCCATGACGCCATCGCTGAAATACAGCATCCGTTTGCTCGACTGCAGCTCGAGGGAGGAAATGCGATCGGTTTCGGAGCGGCCATTGGCCGCGGACTCGGAATTAGTATTCACTGTAGTCGACATGTTTGAATTATTTGTTTTCAATTTGATATGAAATATGAATTAGTTATGCTAATGGTAATTGCTTTGGGTTAGTCACACAAACGCACGCGTTAAATGCGAGTTTTACACATGCACGGCACTGAGTGAATGGCCGAGGGATAACTAAAACAACAAACACAATTTGAGCGGCTCAACCGTCGTTTTGGTCTTGATTCGCCAAATACAAAAATCAACATCCACAAACAAACAAACACACACACGAAATCCAAACAAAACACGTTAATGTCGCCTGTCCATATGGGGGTCGTTTATGTCCTTGGTTTGGGGGCCGGCGTTGCGTGCCAAGCGCCAGTTTGCCATATGTAATCAATAAAATGCCGACTCAATGCCTATGTCGCCCAGCGTATCAACAAAACCGCAAGCAGCGCAAAAAGAATTGTAATCAAAACTGTATACAAATCGCGTCGCTTGTAATCGAAACTATCGAAAGTATGTATTTCAAGTGCAACCAGAGCCAAGAAGATATCGCCACGCGTGGCCATTTCATTAACGATCTACAGGTGTGACGTCACAAGTGTATAAGCAGAAAATACTGCGTAATTTTTAAATTTATGGTTTATTAAAATTGTGAAAATGAATAAATGTAATTAACAAAGCAACATTAGACAGCTTATTAAATTATTAATATATTTAAATTGCACCTGATTAGCTATGTCAAAAAAAAACTGCTAATCATATCAGTTACTGAAAAGTTGATCAAAAGACTGTGAGTTCATTGCGATCAGTTTATCATTGTTATTAAAATTGCTATGCATAATCGTATTATTCTTGTGCAATCTTCCAAGCTGTTGCACTCATGAGTCATGACCATCGTTTATCGGATGGGTCTAGTATGACCGTATTTGTTGTAAACAGCTGTTTACTGATTTCTCATCGCGTCGTTTACAACAATTAAAAATATTGATAATAATTAAAATCAAAACAATGGAATCCCCAATATCAAATCCTGTGACAAAGGGTATGCCATGCGAACTTGTCGAATAATCCGTGCTCAACGATTGCTTAGATTTTCAGGTGGCTGGCGTTTCACGCAGTGGACGCGTACGCAAAAAATCGTCTAAACTGTTGGACTTCGAATCTCCGGAGGAAATTGAAAAGCGCACCAAACGACCGGGCAGGCAACCAGCCAGATATCCAGGACGAGGCCGGCCGCCAAATGCGCTGCGAGAGCGTGAACAAGAATTGGCGCTGGCCTACGCCGAGGAGGAGGACGAGGAGGATGAGCTGGAACACAATCACAATATCTCCGATGAGGAGACCGCAATACCCACAATTGGTGGCACGGCCGATTTACGTGGCGCCCTTATGAACTCTGATGATGAGGTGGACACATTGGTCCAAGACCTGGTCGAAGGTGTCGAGGCGGAGGCCTCCTACACGAACGATTCGCGGGTTCGACAGAGTCTTTATATGCGAGAAAAGTCAAACAATAAGCGAAAGCTGCTCAAGGATAACAAATTGCAAAGAAAGGACAAGGTGCGGGCGCGCTATACAGCCTACAACTTGTGGATGCGTGAGGTGCGCAAACGCGACTTTCCAGATCTAGGTGAGACATTATTCAAAATCATAGACAAATAACTAAACGTAATCTCTCGCCTAGACTCAGCCAATGCGGCACGAAGACTCAGCGAGCTGTGGGCCAATGTGTCCAACAGGGAGAAGAACGCCTGGCGCCGCAAAGCCAAGGTGCTGGCAGCAAAGGCGCGTACCCGGGAAAATAATGCGCCAGCTGAAGTGGCTACAGCGCAAACACCGTCAAAGGCAAGCAATGGCAGCGCCTCTGTGGCAGCGGCGACTCCAGACTCGAGTTTTGTGAATCGCGCCACAACGAGTCGCACGAAGAAATTGGCTGCAGATCGACGCCAATTGCCAGAGCAGGCGACAACACCCACCACGTGGGCACAAAGCAGACAGAAACGCAGTAACAACAGCCGGATCAAGGCGATTCCCGCAGCCACAAGCCAGGCGAGCCCATCCACTCGACAAAGCGCTGCGCAATTGGATATGGAGCTGGCCAGTGGCAAGGTTACACCGTCGAGCATTGAGGCTATCGATGCGGCTGCCCATTTAAAGCTGCTTGGCGAAAGTCTGACAGTGATTGGGGAACGCTTGAAGGAGCACAATGGACATGTCGCCCTCTCTGGCAGCCTCTCTGTCCTACTGGACAGCCTCTTGTGCTCGATGGGGCCGCTGCTCTGCATGACAACGCAAATACCTGGACTGGAGAACAAGACGCAGCTAAGCACAAATCTGGCCACAACGTTGGACAACATTGCGTATGTGATGCCAGGACTTTAAGCCAAGTTCATAAATATTTGTAGTTCCCCGTGTAAGTATAATATTTTTATTGGCATATTGTGGAGAGAACGGGAGTGTGCGCATTTGCTCTAGGCAGAATTAACATTAGCAACAATATTATATAATTTAAATAAAACAAAAACGAAACAATTGTAAATAAGTTGAAAAAGAAATAAATCTATATATTAGTAAAAGGAAAAGAGAGAGAGAGAGGTCAACTATTGAAACCATGAAAATTGGAGGGAAAGTGGTGTATCGTTAAGTCAATCGATAGATATGCAAATGCGCACTCGATTTAGATTAAGTTTATATCAACTATCGTACATTTTAAGCAATAACTGAAACGATTAAAAGTAGCTAAACAAAAACAAAACGCCCCCTTTTTCAATGATCATTTCTTTTTCCTTATTATATCGCTTTAAATCTTTAATTAAAATAATAAAGCGATACCTTACTTTAGGCTTCGAGTAAACAACTATCCAACTACGAATAACGAAATGAAAGGTCGTGTAAGCAAAGCAAATAAAAAACCCCAGTAAATTGAAATGAATATATCAATTTTAAGAACCCCATTTCGAGGAGAATCTTTGAAAATTTGACCGCTTGGCCTGTTGACGGCTTGGCTGGCACTGCATTCCTATCGATATATGCTAACTGAAAGTATCGATGCGGATGCACTTTGAAAATTGCCATCACTATAGCGATACCATTGCGATAGAGTTTTTCTTTTACACGGGAGGGAATTGCAATTTATTGACTAGAATTTTGCAGATTTTTATTAGATCCAGATTTGCGCACGCCCACCCACACAAACACAATGATGAAGCAACACCCAACGAGCAAGAGGAAAAAATCATCAGAGCTGCAGTTGCCCTGCGGCTGGCGCGATTGTAAAGTGGTTTGCGATGGCGAATGGCTGCTCAATGGCCACATTGCCGAGCATCTGGAGAAGCACCAGCAGCAAGAGTCACAGGGCAAGAGTCCGGACAAATGTGTATGCGTATGGAACGATTGCGATTTTCAAACAGATTGCCGCGAAGAATTCGAACGGCACAGTTACTATCATGGCTATTACATTAATCTGCTGCTCCAGGGCAAGCACGAGTGCGAGCTCCATCCCGAGATACCTTCCTGCTATGCACTGCCACGCAAAGGCAACAAGCTGCCCGAGCTGAAACAGAATTTCCATTGCGGCTGGAGTGACTGCCAGCGCTCGTTCATTTCCATAGTCGAGTTCCAGGATCACATTGTGCAGCACGCCTCCTTTGAATATGAGATACAAAAGTCGCCAGACGACGAGCGGCCCAAGACCCAGTGCAACTGGACGCTGTGCAACAAGCAGCTGGAGAACAAGTATCGCCTCATCGAGCACATCAGCACGCACTCCAACAAAAAGCATGTTGCCTGCTATCATTGCGGCGAGCTGTTCAGGACGAAGACAACGCTGTTCGATCATCTCCGCCGGCAGCCGGACAACAACAGTAAGTAAATTGAGTAAAGAATAACAAAAAATGTATTTCACTCTCTCTCTCTCTCTCTATCTATCTATCTCTCTCTGTTTCTGTCTACCCGTCTCTCTCTCCCCATCTAGCACACAAATTTCAATGTGCGCAGTGCTTTAAATTCTTTGCCACGGAAAAGCTGCTGCGCGGTCATGTTGTGCGGCACGTGAACTGCTACAAGTGCACCATGTGCGACATGACCTGCAGCTCGGCCAGCTCGCTGACCACGCACGTACGCTATCGCCACCTGAAGGACAAGCCGTACAAGTGCACGGAATGCGACACACGCTGTGTTCGCGAATCGGATCTGGCCAAGCACGTACAGATTGTCCACTCCAAGATGGTGCATCAGTGCGATCAACCCGGCTGTCAGTACTCCGTGCGCACCTACACGCAGATGAGACGAGTAAGCCAACATCAATCCAACTACCTATATGACCTCTCCCCTAACTCGAATCGATTTCCTTGCAGCACTTTCTGGAGGTGCACGGCAATAATCCGATATTCTATGCCTGCCATTGCTGTGAGCGCTACTTTAAGACGGGCAAATCCCTGTCCGTTCATCTGATTAAGAAGCACGGCTTTCGTCTGCCGTCGGGCCACAAACGCTTCTCGTATCGCGTGGATGAGAACGGTTTCTATCGGTTAGAGATGACGCGCATTGAGAGCCTGGAGGTTACACAGCAGATCTTAGCGCCACATATCAAAGAGGAGCCGAACCTGGCCGGCAGCTGTTATGAGATAGTGAATCCAATTGGTGTTGACTACGAACGCATTATCGTTTCCAACGATGCCAACGAGGCGCAGCTGGTGGGCGAGGTGACCATCTCGTTGCCCAGCCTAAACGACGAAGACTTCTGAATGCAGAAATCGAAATTCAATCAAAATCAAAATGGAAATACAGTAAGCACTCGTTGACACAAACGGCTGTGTTCACGGTATGGTGCTCCTGTTTCTCCAGCCCCCTGTTCCTGATTCACTTCCACAAAAATGCACCGCCGAGTACTCATAGTTTGTAAGCATCATCTAACCTTAACAAGATTTGTTCGAGACTGCGAACTCCAGCTGCGGCCAGACACACACATACACATGCATGTGCACGTTTAGCGAATGCCCACTGTAGTCCAAGGTCTCCTATACGTATAGCATAATCGCATTTAGAAAGAACTATGTATCACATTTAATTTAGTTATAAGTACAAAGTTAAGAGTTCGACAAGCATATTTAATAAACCAAACCATGGAAATCACTAAAACTATCAAATCTTTTGATTGCTCGCAATGTGTTCTACTTCTATCAAGTAAATCCTAATACATACATATGTATATGTACATAGGTATTTCTATAGTTTTCAATTAGTTCTAGGCATTCCCTTCCAAGAGGTATTCCAATAACTCGTCGTTGTTTAATTTCGTGTCTAACCAAGCTAAGCGGAAAATCAGGCAAGCTGTGGAAACCACAGTTAAGAATATTTCCAGTGGCATTCCATCGTACATACACAATCATATCAAAGCCGGTCGTTCTTTGCAATCTATAGCAATATTGGAAATTACCGTTTAGAATCTTCCATATTGGTCCACTTATTGACAAAGGTGGCATCGCCAAGTCAATAAAAATAATGAAAAAAAAGAACAGTTAAGCTTTTGCTTAAAGTGAGGTTATGGAACCACTAACAAATGTTCAACTGTCATTTTGGTTCGTTTAGTTCACTTAAAAAAAATAAACACTCATGCGTAATTATTGTAATTTGTTTTTTAATTCTGGCTTCATCGACTGTTCAGTTTTCTTCTTTACACGTTTTAGCAAATGCTGTTAACACTGCACAACATTTATATAAAAAAAACACCGTTGATGTTTTAAAGTGTACCGATTGATGTTATTTTTGCTGCTGCTGTTGTTGGTTGCCAAGGTTTTTACTTGGCATGAGTCTGAGCCTTCCTGAGCTGAGTGAGAATGTTGGATAGTTCCTCACGCTTCCTCTTGGCACGGATGTGTGTGCCCAAGCGGCGCTTCAGGTACTTCAGGGCGCGCTTATCCTTGGACACCTTCAGCAATTCCATGGTGCGCTTCTCGTAGGGCGCATGTCCAACCACCTCACGAACCAGATCGCGGGTGAATTTTGTGTGGCGGGTTTGAATCTGCAAATACAATGTCAAACATAATGTAAACAAATGCCAATAGGGATATTATTGATTTTTCACTTACGTTCTTCAAACGGGAGCCACGCAGACCCTTGACCTTCTTGTCGCCGGTATACTTGACATTCTTGACTTTGGTGGTCTTGTGGCCCCTGTTGAGACCAATACACAGCTCGTAGCGGACTGCCATTGTCACTACAAAACAAATAAAAATTGTAAACACAGTTTTTAATTAGTTTCACTTGTTATTCATATTCAACAACTGCGCTATATATAGCATCGATATTTTAAGTTACTATTGCACACATAATTTGCACATACAACTGTATGATGTTTGCAATAATTTCAGAATTTGTACACAACTATTTCCCGGCCGACCTACCTCAGTTGCTGTCAAATGGTAGAAAGAGCGCTGTCAAAGAAAGCTAACAGGAAGCCGTTGCGCTCTGACATTAGCTTAGAGCTGCCAGACTATTCAGTTTTGGCCTTACACATACGATACGATTTTCGATTTTGAAATTTATATTATGTCAATTTATATTAATCATATGGCTATGCACCGGGTTATAGTAATATAATATGATTAAATATTTAWTGTTCTATTGAATTATGAATATAGTTTTAAGGCACTTTCAAAGATACTAAATCACAGTTGCTAATAATTTATCGTTCAGTATATTTAAAAAAGGCGGGCTAATTTATGTATCTAAGTATTGTTTTAAGCGTCAGTCAGTGGTTCAATTTTACTTTTACCTTTAAATATAATTTTTTTTTTCAAGGAATACGCTTAAATATGAAAAAATATTTACATATCGTTTACAAATTTTTGGTATTTATAGGGGTTCTTCTTATCGCTTTTCACGACTAGTTTTAAATACAGCTCTGTTCTTGCATGTGTTGTCATTAAGCTCGATTAACTGTATTCATTCGCGTTTTAGCAATTTGTGCAAACAATTGAGGTGCAATACCATATGGGACAATATTAAAAAGCGATTTGTTTGTAAACCAAGTGCATTTCAATAAATAGCAGGGCACTGATCGAACGTTGTCATTAGTTTATCGGCTTTTGTGCACTATGATGGCAACACTGCATACGCCGGCCATGTTATGATATGTAAAAGTTGGACGTAGACACGTGTTTAATTTGTGCTCCCAAAATACGCTAAAAATTTGTGTTATAAGTCAAATAAAAAACAGTGAATATCATAAAAAACAATAAAGTCAATAGTTACGCTTCTTTAAAAGCAATTCAAAGTAAATTCTTTACCCCACTGGTTTCAAAAGGTAAGCGCAATTTTTAACACGCGGAACATAACCTACTACAAAACATTTGCCAAAACACTCGCAGAGCAAAGCAAAAAAATGGTGTCATGTTGCTTGAATGCTCGAAGCAAACGCAATTTGTCGTAAAGTGTAACGTGTATATGCAGCAAAACAGTACAAAAATTAAATATTCTTTTCCGCTATTAATAATTTTTTTATTTTTTTTATTGTATATGTGAGCCTGTGTCTGTGTGTGAATGCAAAAAATGCGCAACATAATCAATAGGTGGCAACGTCTTGTTGTTTTTGCTGTCGCTAACACATGCGGCATACAATTTATACCGCCTGTCAGCTTGTGTCGGTGTGTGCGTTGAGAGTGTATTTGTATGTAGGATCAATGTGCTCTTCGTTTTGGTCCTTATTTCTTATGCTTGCCTATTATACAATGAAAATTTGAAAAAAATTTGTTGCTGTCCCTGCTTACATGTGTGTTTATACATATGTATATGTATATATATGTAGACGAGTACATATGACATTTGTATACATACAAAAGTTTCAGTATATTTAAATATATGTGTATATGTATATAGATATATATTTATGTACAATTCTGTTAGCGTCGTGAGTCATATAGCTTAGATATTAATTTTGTTACGTTTTCCATAGAATTTGTATTTAGTTTGAAATGTTTGTGCGCATTATGTTTTGTTTTGTTGTTTGACGGCTTTCACTACGCCATTCAATCAAACGCTTTAATTTGTTGTTGTGCTGATAAGCAACAAACAACAACAAAGCCAAAGCAGAAGGGGGAGCTAAAAACTAAAGCCAAATCGAAATATCACACATTTTCACGATTATACAATACACTTCTACAAAAAAAAATGCCGTGGTTGTCGTCGTCGTCTTTGTTGTCGCAGAGCATATGATCGCCAACCACGTTGCCAGACTAGAGGAAATGGACAAGGGGAAGGGGGTGGGGGCAGGGTGACAACTCTTAGGCCAAAAGTAAAGCAGATCGTTGTTGCACTTGGCTTTTGGCCGTTTATTGAATTTGAGTGCGTGTGTGTGTGTATGTATTAATAGACGAAAATCGCCTTCTCACTTGCTCATGCACGTAGACGAGCACCCTTCGTGTGTGCGTGTGAGTGTGTGATAACGAGTTGAATACAATCCATAGGCCTTGGCTTCCAGCCGTGGCTGGTTTAACAACTGTCAAACACTAAATTTTAATGTGCATACATAATACAAATATAAACTGGAATTTTACTAAAACATTGCCAACTAATTGTAACGTGCTTTTGGCACCTTCTGCAAGTTCAAAGTCAAGCGCCAATCGTCAAATATTTTTGTTTGCATAGGCAAAACACACGCATAGACACACACACACACACACACTCATACAGGCCAACATGTATAAGAGTTTCGCATTTTTAACGGCATTCATACTTCACATACATGTGTAAGTGCTGAAGAGTGCGCCCGCTTTGTCCAGGTGGCAACACTGCGCCAAATGCAAAATGTGCCAACAGTTGATGGACAACCTCTCACAACTGTGCGCCCTGATCGTTCAGTTCTAATATGATGATGACCTTTGTGCCTGTGTTCTATGATTAGGGCTTATCAATGGTGACGAAACCAGCTCTCTGTAAATTAATGCGTGTGTGTGTGTCCAGCGTCTAGCTTTGCCTATAAACAACAGAGACATCGACACACACACACACAGACACACATACACACGGCAGCAGGGCAACAGGTTTGCCCAAGAAACAAAGAGCGGGAGTGAGAGAGCACACTAAAGAGAGCGAGGTTAACGTTTTTATTGTCTCATTGAAATGCTTTGACGAAGGGCGCTCTTTGCTATCTGTCTATCCATCTATCTGTCTGTCTATTTGTCTATCTGTCTGTCTGTCTCTCTGTCTGTTCAATTTTTGATCGAATTTTTGTTTTGAGGCTGTTGACACTGCAGTTGCGTCTATTAACAGAGTGGGTGGTTTTGGGTGGCTTGGGTTGCTTTCGGCAACAATCGACAAATGGCAAATGTCTCGCTAGAAATAATAAATAGAAAAACGAAGCAAATCACACGATCCTCATCTTAGCACACACACACTAGCGGGGAGATGGAGGGGGTGGCAAAATAAAAAAAGAGGAGAGAAAAAAACAACAACTGTGAAACGCTTTTGGGTAGTTTCCCTTTGTATATCGAGGCGCTATCATCGCACGGCGGCGATACGCATAGAACCTAGAAAAAACATAAAGCTCGAATTCGACGAGTCGCAACGCCGGCATCAAATCAACGAATCAAATATAGATAAATAAACGCAAATTGAGTTATAATCGAGTAGTGAAGTAAACACAAACCCAGCGAAAAGTTCAATACAAATAAAGCAAACAAATATTAAAAAGAAAATAAATTTATATAGAAGAATGAAGTTTTAAATTCCCTACGAAAATAACGAGCGAATAAGTTTCGAGTGTGCGTGTGTGTTTGGTAGAGTTTTAATTGTTTTTATTTAATTTTCTACTTGACTTTATTTGGAAAATTCCACAATCAGTGTGCACAGTGTGGCCAATTAGTAAAGGTGATTCCAAAATGTTTAAATTTATGGTTTTGTTATTGCTTTAACGTTTGACTGTCATTTGATGTGTATTTGATATATATTTATCTTATTTTCTATTTATTTTGRTTTTCATTTGTTCTTATTAGTTTTTTAGCAACGTTTGTTTTGTAACGATTTCATAACAATTGCCGTAAGCGTAATGCTTGTTGTTGTCATTGCTGTTGTTGTTGTTGTTCTTATTGTTGTTCTTTAGTTAGCCGAAAGCTGCTTGCGTTTGCTTTTGTTGTTGTTGTTGCGGCTTTTTCTTCACACTTGACACTCAGCGCACGCGCAAGTGAGACGCATAATACGCTCTCGCTCGCTCACTCCTTTGCTCGATCGTGTGTGTGCGCGGCGCGCTCACTCTCTCTCGCTCTCGCTCTCCCACTCTTGCTTGTTGGCTTCCGCGTGGCATTCTGCTTCTGCTTCTGCTTTGCACCTTATTTGCTCTGCGCGTCGCTATTCGAATGATTTTTCTATAATTACGTATTTTTGCTATAAATACGTCGTCACACATACACATAACATATACACACACACTCACACATATCTACTTGGTTGTGGATGCCAAATGGGTCTCGTGATGGTCGCGACCCAAACAAATTGACTTTATGCAGCATTTCAAACTAATAAAGGTCTAAAAAGTACACACATATATATATATTTATATATGTATATTTGTGAAATGTCTTGCCCAAATTTCAACTAAATATTCATATGACTAACGCAAATTTGTTAAATATTTCCATGTGCCTTTTGCTCTTGCTTCTTCTCCCCACTTCATTATGCACTTCGCATTCTTAAGCGTTCCAATACCTTTCTAAAAGTTCCCTCAAGTTGTTTTGCATTAATGATTATGCTTAGGGAGATGGAAGAGGGAGGAAGAACTTACTCATATTGCTATTCCCTGAACTCATTGAAAATGTTTATGATCTTGGCATATTGCACGTTACAGGCAGAAGGAAGCATGATAAATCAAATCAAAATCAAATCAAGTAAACATTCAGACCAAATTACATATATACATTCACACTGATCAGGGCGACAAGCTGAGCAATTGGAGTCATGTTCGTCTGCCCATCCGCATGAGCACAGGGCTCTGGTAGCTAGCCAATCGACAGCTTCAAATTATATATACAATACGAGCTTATTATACATATATCAATAATTACACTTCCTTATTATTGTAAACGTAACTTGAATACCAGAGAAGCGCGATATATATCGAATTTACTGTCTAGACAAATCACTGCGATGGCTACTCAGATTATGTGTGTGCTCCCGGCGAATCTGAGACATGCTTGCTGAGGATTGCGTTGGCAAGAGTAGTAGAATAACAGTTCTGGCTAATCAGAGAATTTTCCAGTCGAGCAAAAGGCTTTGTTGATGCTTTTGCTGGAACTAGAATTGCATTGACTTTGCTGTCATCAATAAAAGTTTCCGTTTCATTCTGAGGAGCTTCATTAGTAACGCCTTGCTCTGTGTATATCATAAAGTCTTTGAGTTCACAGTCAAATACTTATTGATTATTAATCGAAGCCAACTTGAATTTATTTGCAGATTCTCCAATATTCAGCGAAAATGGTATCCGGTCGTCCTCTACTCTATCTCTCACTGCCCGGTGTAGCATTTATACTCGGCGTCTTTTGGTTTCGGCGTAGAAATAAAAATCGCATTGATAAAAACGATGACGATGCCAATGGCGCCGCTGCCAATGGAAAGCCGATCAAAGAGGCCATCGAGCCGGGAACACAGCGCAAAACAGTGAATGGCATCCAGTCCCAAAATGGCAAGTTGCCTGCGGGCAACGGAAATGGAGCAGTACCTGGTACTGGTGCCTCCAAGTCGATGAGCATCAGTGTGGGCAATGGATCAGTGTTGAACAATGGGGAGTATGATAAGGAGAGCCCGAATACCATGCTATATGGTAAATCGGCGCCAATCACAATACAGAGCAATGGACGCGCTTCCCCGGGCAAGCATCAGCAGCAACAGATCGATTCGGAAATGCTAAAGTCTAAGATACAAGATGCAGAGCATAAGAAGCTCTGCTCCATTGACGAGGACTTTGAGAATCTGTCATCGCCCAGAGATTTGCCGGATTCTATATCGAAGAATCGCGTCTCGTTCTACAATCGGAATACTAACCAAAAGAAAGAAGAGCCAGTGGTCATCAAAGCAACGCGCACACCAAAAATATCCCCAGAGAATTCATTTCTCGAGAGCAAATACACCAAGGAATGCGAGCAGAACAACAACTGTGAGCCAAATCCAACTGCAGCTGATGCTGACAAGATCAAGAAGCAGCAGCTGGAGGAGGTGAAGGAGCAGAAGGAGCTGAAGGAGAATCCCGTTGCCGCCGTGGAGCAGCCAATAGAGCCGGTCAAAAAGACACAGCTACAGAGCACAGCTGAAGCACAGATCAAACAGACTGAGGAGGAGCAAACGATTGTGGCCAAGCATGTGGATTTGAATGAGAATTCGACAGCTGCATCCACTGTGACTGCCACTGAGGCCACTGATGTTGCCACTGAAGTTGTCGCTGAAGTTGCCACTGAAGCCGCCGCTGCTGCTGCTGCTGCTGCTGGTGCTGCTGATTCGGATGCCCTTGATGATGCAGCCAATGGCAATCAGAAGCGCAACGTGGATGCAGCCAGTCCATCGCTGAGCATTTGCAGCGTACAATCTGGCGATTCGGGCAAAGGCTCCAGCTTGCCGCGATCGGAGGCAACGTCACGCGTGAAGAGCTCGTATCGCTTCTTCTTTCCGAATAGCTTGATTGGCCAGCTATATGGACGCAAGCGTACGTTCATCAATAAAATCAAGTCGAAGACTCTGGCCAATGTCAGCTTGAGCAAGAATCGCTACTCATCCGGCAAGCTGCGCATTTGCACCATCGAAGGCACCGACAGTGAGATCGACGCCGCGCTGGCCATGATACGCCAGCGTTTGCCATCCAGACGCTATCCCAATTTCACAATGCAAAGAATTCACTATGCGCTTCCGCAATCCATAGTTCCTCTGTCGACTGAAAGCCTCCATAGCTTACAAGTGAGTTGAAGACAGATTCTGCCAGTCTCGATCTGTACCCCTCTATATTGCAAACATAGAGGGAGAGTTTTATGCATGTATTGAGTTACATACATATTCTTATATACGCTGTAGGGATGTTTTATCGATAGCATGAACTGTATCTAGATTGGTTGATTGATAATTATTGCAATTCCAATAAGTAACTCGATTAAGCGTACTTACAAAATGATTCGCATGAGTTATTGAAGTATACACATGTTATCGATAACAGTCACACTGTCAAAAGTTCACTATTGCAAAGTAAATCGATAAATGGCTTCAAGCAGTACATTGATAACAAAATGAAGCTTACAAAATATAGTGTATATCGTTCAGGTAGCAAATGCTTCGATTTGTAAAATATAATCATAATCAACTCAACCAAATGAGTGCTGGATACTGAACAATATATGATACACTAAGCTGCCACCCAATCAAAATCGATTAAGATTGTTTATAAAAACGATCAATGCAATTATTTATCGAATGCATATCGATCCATTTAGACATACGACTTGTCTACACAAAACTTTGCAACATCCCTAGAAAGCTATCTATAGTTCAGCCAAAAACGTGACCAAAACGTAAAAGTAATGTAACACTATTGATAACTAATCGATATTTAACGAACTTCGATTCTTATCACATATTAAATGCGCCTATTCTTACCAATTTCGCAGCTAAACCTGATCGAGGGCATCAACAATGATGTGTCAGTCACCGCAGTGCTCTCTGGCAATCATGTGTTCGTGCAGCATCCGCTGCATCCGTCACACCCATCGCTACACGCACTGCAGAAGAACATGCTCGACAGCTACTCGAGCATGGAGGCGCCCAAGTTGCCGAGCATCGAGATCAGCGCCGTCTGTGTGTTGCCCATCAATGGCGGTTGGTATCGCGTGCAAATCGTGGACAGCGATCCCAACAATGACGAGGAGCGCTGCGTGGTCAAATTCTTGGACTTTGGCGGCTATATGAATGTCAGCTTTAGTGTTTTGCGTCAGATACGCACAGATTTTATGACGTTGCCTTTCCAGGCAACCGAATGCATACTGTCCAATGTCGAGCCAATCGGTAAAGTAGTCCATGCAATATGCAACATCCCATATGTCTAATCAATTGTTTGTTTTTGCATATAGATGAGACTTGGTCTGTTGATGCGGCCGATATCCTCAGCAAATTAACCAAAGGCATTGTCTTGCAAGCACAAGTCGCCGGCTATAATAGCCATAATATACCAGAAATCTATTTATTTGCCTCTCTAGGTCCAAACGTAAGTAAAATGCTGCACCACAATGAAAGAGATGGCAAGCGTGAGCGAGCGAGATAGTCTGAATTGCAGTAAGAGCAAGATAGCTGAAACGCTCTCTTACTGAGTTGTGGTGTTATCGTTGTATTGTTATCGATAATTGAAATACGTTTTGCATTATTCTATTTTCTACATATTTGACTAATTCCCTTTCTGTTTATTGCATTTGCAGAACATAATTTTTATCAATAAGGAAATTGTCGCCAGAAATCTCGCTAAATGGGTCGAGATGCCTGACTAACAAGCCCAAATGAACAATGAAACTTAACACATAGGAAACTACAACAACAACTACAATAGCAACAACAACAGCATCAACAAACAAGAATCAGCAGCGAAACGTTGGAAGTCTCAAAGTGCTGGTGGAATAAGCTTCTAAAATGCAAAATGTTGTAGAACGCGACTGAGTCCGTATTTATTTATAAATACAAAACACAACACAACACAACACACACACACACATATGCAGACATGTAACGCATTGTTAACACAAATACACAAACACACAGACACAAGCTATATATATATATATAAATATATATACCTTCATATCCAATGATCGTTCATATACAAAAGGCGTTTCAAAAAAATGAAAAAACAAAATGAGCAATAATTTTTGTTTGTTGCTTTAGTTGCGAATGCCTCTTCGATTTGTTTGTTGTGCTCTGATCCATAGCTGATCTCCGCATATAGGCAACTTAACTAAACAACTAAACTAAACTAAAAACTAAAACTAATCCTAAAGTAAACTATACTAACTAATTAGATTAGTTTCGAATGTGTATAGTCCTAAGAATGGGGAGTTTCGTTTGTTTGAGTTATGTTAAGGAATGTGCACTGTACAACACAGAGAGAATGAGAATGTATTGGCGTCAAATCTGTTGGGCATAGAGCCACGCACACTAACACACTCACACTCACATACACACGCACTCAAACACATCAAAACCAACGAAACGCTTCAGATATTACCATACTCAGAATATAAGTAATATTACTTAGTGTAAATAGATTTTTTTTTTATTTCCATATATATCTACGTAAATAAAGAGAAGAGTAAATGCGAACATACTTTATATGAAGTATACAACAAGATAT